TTTCTTGCTGTTTTTATTAAGTATGGAAGAGCAAAGTTGGAGGAAGGAGAGTTTAAATGGTGGAAAAATAAGAGAATCTGGGTAATGCTGAGCTTTTTCCTTGAGCCTCTACGCTTCCCCCCTTGGCATCTGTGTTCTCGACCCTGGCCAAACACTGGATTCAACCACGGAGGTTTTTAAAAAACATTAAACTGGACCCCATTCGAGAATCCCAGAAGGATGGAGCAGTGGGGTGCTTGTTTGTTTAAGTTTACCCAAGTGGATTCCAACTGTGCAGTCAGGGCTGAGAACCACACCACACCATCTCCCCTGAAGATTTCATCAACTTGAACAGCAATGGTTCCCAACACTGGCTGCTGAGTTGATTTACCTTGGAGGATTTTTTTTTTTTTTAAGAAAAATATCAATGCCCATGCCCTACCTAAGATCAGTGCAAAAGAAACTCAGGAGTGGGGCTCCACATCGGTTTTGGTTTCAAGCTCTCCGGGAGATGCCAATGCACAAGAAAGGCTGAGAACCAGTGACAGAGATTCAAATCTCACAGATTTGTGAATACTTACCAAAAGCCACTTACTCTCTTGCAATCATATGAACTTGGTAATCTCAAACTGAATATGTCTAAAATGGAACACATAATATTTCCTTCAAAATTGGGTCCCTACTTCTGATATTCATATTACTTTCTACTTCTTGACTTTTTTTTTTTTTTTTTTTTTTTTTTTTTTACACAGGTCCTATTGCTTCATGGATAGCAATTGTGGCCTCTCTCGTTGCGGAGCACAGGCTCCGAACACGCAGGCTTAGCGGCCATGGCTCACGGGCCCAGCCGCTCCAGGGCATGTGGGATCCTCCCTGACCGGGGCACGAACCCGCGTCCCCTGCATCGGCAGGCGGACTCTCAACCACGGCGCCACCAGGGAAGCCCTGTTCATTACTTTGGAGCTTATCATTCTCACAACATTCTCCCAACCCTGCTTCCCACATCGATCACTGAATTAGACACTTGTACTTTGAAGTATCACATGTTTAATCATTACCTTCAAAAGTCCATGAACAGCTAAATGGCTACAGACTCGAGTCCAAATATTTTAACCCCAAAATCAAGGATCCCAAGCAAGGCACTAGCTTCCTTTTACAATTCTACCTCTCACTAATGTTATGCATAAACCTTTTATCATTTACCAATCAATGCATTCAGCTGCAAGTAAATGAAAACCAAACAGGAGCTGGTTTTCTCGTAACAAGTCTGGAGGAGCCAGGCCGGCTGGCACCCGTTAATGTCAAGGCTCTGTGATTTTCTTGGCCGTCTCCTCTGGGTCAAAAGAAGGCTGCTACAGCTGTAGCTGTAGCTTCAGTGTTAATGATCTAATCAAAGTCCAAAGAAAGGGGAGGAAAAGGACAATACCAGACAAATCTCTTCCCTTTGATCACAAAAGCAAAAATTTCCCAGAAATTCCCTATGCCTTATTGGTTAGAAATCTGTCATAGTAATCTCTCTAGCTGCAAGGGAGGCTGGGAAGGCAGGTTTGTCATCCAGGGCCGGTTGGAGGACTGCAAACAAAATCAGGGTTCTGTTAACAAGGAACGTGTCTGGGGCTGTATTTGCGGTATACATTAGCCTAATGCCTGAACATTTACGTATTCTTGTCTAACATGGGAAGAGATAGAAGGACTAAAACTTGGCTACAGATGTCTTCCCACCCTCACCTGTTTTTCTCCATTATTTCTTCCACTTGTAAAGCAGAACATCAGGTGCCTCCAGTTTACCCAAACTCCCTCCTTTCTTCCTCCAGCAGTAAATGTGGAAACTAGTACCCCCACCCAGCCCAGCAGTCTGGGGTATCCTCAGCTTTCCAACTGCCTAACACTTGCCTTACCTACTGCTCATGCAACCCCTCCAGATAGACAGCTCACTCTCCAAAATGCTTGGTTTCCTTTATAAAATCCTTCAGATTGATTTGAACAATTGGGAATGGGAGTCATTTCTCTTTATTATTTTGGCCAAACTCTCATTTAGCACAGTATCATAGCAAATATGTCCGATTAATTCTGTTCTAAACTTCACTAAACCTGGATTTATCTTCACAGTTTTGGATATCTCAACATAACAGACTGTGTAAAAACAAAACCGAAAACAAAAACTTGTACTACTATAATTCATGAAAGACCTTTTTGTTGTTGTTGTTATTCCAAACCCTTAGACAGCCAACTTGATTGATCAAGGCCTAGTATATATTTTTTACTTTTTTGAATTCTCTCTTTAAAAAGACCACCCATAGTGGGTAGGACCTCTTGCCCTGAGATCAGGTTAGTTAATGGCAAAGCCTTTATTATGTTTTTATGCTCAACTTAGTGCTATTGTAATAATAACTTGTTAATACCAGTTAAGTTTCTAGAAATCGAATATAAGTGATTATATTACTAGGTGTTAGTTCCATTTCAGTAAACTACGACATCCTCTTGTAAGACATGTAATTTTTTTTTTTAGATGTTGGGGGTAGGAGTTAATTAATTTTTGCTGTGTTGGGTCTTCGTTTCTCTGCGAGGGCTTTCTCTAGTTGTGGCAAGCGGGGGCCATTCTTCATCGCAGTGCGCGGGCCTCTCACCATTGCGGCCTCTACTGTTGCGGAGCACAGGCTCCAGACGCACAGGCTCAGTAGTTGTGGCTCACAGGCCTAGTTGCTCTGCGGCATGTGGGATCCTCCCAGACCAGGCCTCGAACCCGTGTCCCCTGCATCGGCAGGCAGATTCTCAACCACTGCGCCACCAGGGAAGCCCAAGACATGTAATTTCTTAATGATGTGAATTGTGACCCTCTAATTTTCTGATTTGTATGTGAGGATTGCCCCTATATGCAGCTTTTCAAAGTAACGTACTATTAGGTGGCTTCAGAATTTCACTAAAAACTCCAATTTTCGGGACTTCCCTGGTCCCGAAATTTCAAAGTCAGGATACCATATACTTGTGTAAGAATTTGGAAGGCCACAAAGACTGGATTGTGAAATGGCAAGAAATATTGACAAAAACAGGCATACTAAAAACAACAATTTCTTGACTCAAAATGTGTGGTTGGGGAACCATTTGGTCTGAGATGGGGAAGCCACAGCAGGCTATTGCAACTGGATTGAGAGCACCTGAGGGCTGTATTAGCCAGCATTCAGACAACATCCAACATGGCATCAGTACTTCTCTGAATTGGCACTTAAACTTTCAAAGGCTATCTCTGCATTACAACTGTATCAGATGTTGCATAACTTTGTTCTAAAACAAGTGCGTTTGTCTTGCTCTATTTGGAAAACCATGGGTGCTACACTCATTATCATTTACAGACACTTTCTAAAAATCTAATAAGGAGGTTCGAATAGGAATAAATTAGGGCTTTTGGAGTGGCACATTCTGTGGAAGCAGGGGGGATGGGAAGAAACAGACAGCTGACCTCCTTGAAACAAGGACAACCCTGGAGTCCACAGAAAGATTCTGTAGGATTTCCCAGTAATAAGGCATCTCATTACTGGACTCTTGGGAAACGGTTTCCTCACGTTAAAATGACTATCAAAATGGGGGAAGAGATGCAATGTGAAAACTACCCATGAGACCCAAAAGGCAATTTAAAAGTTATAAATGGAGTTGATCAAAAGGGAGATAGAATACGCCCAAAGCCAACACGATCCTGTAAAAGCCACCACTTTTCTCCCCCAAATTATCAATTTCATTTTTCGTTTACCTCATCACATTTGCACTGTGAATACAACCACCATTACCACTCACGTTTTGATATGCAAATACATGAGTATAGACGATCAATACACCCCTCCTTACCTGAAATCTAAATTAACAAAGAGAAGATTACTTCCATGATGAATTAACTCTTCAATTTGCGAACAATTCTTCTATGTATAAAAATATAAAGGCCTTTGGGAAAATTAATTTATCTATAACCATTGAGGAATTTACTATATAAGATGACCCTCGGAGATTATGAAGTAGAATTCCTCTTTATCTCATTCTTTCAAGGACCCACATCTCAACATCTAAGTCCCTCAAATGTATTAGGAGCTTAGTTTTCATAGACTAGCAGAGTAATTGATTGTTGGGTTACAGAGGACATTAAAGGACAAGGAACAAGTTCACAAACTTATTACTATATATCCTATTATAGTTTGGTTTTTAAAAAGTCCTGAGAGCAGAGATCTTTTATTACATTTATCTTTGGATTTCCAATGCCTAGCACAGTCCCTGGCACATAGTAAGAGCAGGGTATATGTGAAACTGATGAGTCAAGTTTCACTCCCTCTCTGAACCCTGCCAGGATGTGAGATCATTAGGACACTCTGTGCTATGGATGACAATTGACAGTGACTGAAAGAGGCAGCAGAAGAGCAGAAAGAGACAAAAAAAAAAAAAAAAAAAAAAAAAAACCCCCGGGGGGAAATCTCCGTGGTGTGGGGGGTCGGGAGTAGGTGGAGATAATGAATTACAGAGAAAATGATAATACACCTTACATTTATGATTTTATGATTTTTAAAGTATTTTACAAGATTCGTTCTCTTTCGCTCCTCACTATTCCTCTGTGATGTATAAATTCCATAATTCAGAGAGAAAAGAAGGAAATACAGCCATTTTCCCCCTTTTACTGTAAAATGTTAGCTGCTGCTTAAACACGAAATACATGAGTTTAACTTTTTCCACAAATAGGGTGAAGGGTTAAAAGTATTATATAATCATGTAAACCTCTAGGTGAAATTCAGGAACTGGTTACTTTCCAAGAAAACTTTTATAATTCATGAAATAAAATAAGCAATTGACTGCCAGGTAATTTTAGACACATCTGTACTGCACTGCTCTCCACTTTACCTCTGGAAGAGTGGAATTTAAAATGCATGGCAGCTTATCTAAATTACTGTATAAACCCATACAGTGAAAACTGCCCCCAATCTCAACAAGAAATGGCTGTATTCAATTGAATTGCTGTCTCTCTTAGCCTCTGGCAAATAACTTACCTTAAAAGTCTCCACCACCTCTTTTGATCCTCCTTCTCCGGCACATTCCGCGGAGCATCCATTATTGCAGTCCTTAAAAGAAGAATTAAATCCATTAAGAAAAACTAGGTGGGTAACTGGGGTCTGGGGTAATCAATATCACTCACCATCACACCCTTTGCTCCGCTCCGGTCCGGTCCCCAAGCAAACAGGCAAAGGAGGATCAAACACCCAGGCACGAGCCCCAAAGGAGAGCGTCCTGCGAGGGCTGCCCTTCTTTCTGCCCTGCCGGAGGTCGCGGCTGTTTTTGTCCTCCACCGCCGGCTTCGGGCAGACTGGTTAAATTCCAGGTTCGCCCTACAGAGCCAGGGTTCACCAGCAAAGAACAAGAAGGTAATTGTCTCCCCCTTTTATCCGAGAAAATAGTCTAGACTAGGGCTTTAAGCCATTTATAGAAAAAACCTCCTGGGCGCGCTCAGCCTCGTGGTCTCGTCGATCACGGGCGCACAATAGCAAGCCTAGAAAAAGGATGGGGACCAGAGTGAACCATTTTCTCTACGGGCAGGGTCCTCCGATGCAGGCGCAAGGACACTAAGCCCCACACGTGAAAGACAAAACCGCATGGAATTAGGGGGTAAATTTTAAACATACTTAAGGACACAATGGAAACAGGTCGAACTGGAAACGGTGAAGACCTTAAAAAAAAAAAAAAAACCCTAATCTGGTACACTACTAGGGGAAAGAGGAAGAAAGGGAATCCAAGGAGGCAGAAGTCTGCGGTCAAAATATTTTGGGGTGGCCAAGGCACGCAGGATGCGGCTGTCAGTTCTGGCAGCCCAGAAATTCCGCTTCCCCCCACCAACCCCTCCTCCACCAAAGCGGCTTCCATGGCGACCCTCACGCTCCCCGTGGCTGTCCGCGCCGCGCTCCGGAGCGGGTCCCCGGCGGGACTTTAGACCTGTCTGGCGGGGGCTTCTCCGAGGAATTCGCAGGCTGGGACTCGAGATTTCGGGCAGGGCTGGGGAAAGAGACGCCCGGATGGAGACAGCACGGTGGTGCAAGGCGAAGCAGGATGGTGCGGGAAACAGCAGCAGCGCGCCCGGCCGGGCCCGCGGGCTTCCGGGACCCGGGGTCCAATCCGCCCCACCCCTACGCCCGCGAACGCCCGGGGTCGGGGTACCTGGCGGGCGAGGGCTGCGCCGGCGGGGGGAGGGCTGGCCATGGGGCGGCTCCGGGAGCGCGCGGCTGCGGAGAGCTGCGGCGGCACGCAGCGCCCGGCTGGACGCGAAAGCGGGCGGCGCGGCCAAGCTCCAGCGCACGGACCGCGCGGAGCCGGCCGCCAACACCCGGAACCCCAGGCCAGGGCCAGGCGCAGGGAACAGCGCAGCACCTCCAGCATCCCTGGGGGAGAAACCTTCAACTGTCTGGTCACTGTGGTCCTTCGGTCGGGAAACCCCAAGCCGTAGTCCCAACCCCCAGGGCACGAGAGTGCAGGAGCGCCTTTCTGGCTCAGGCACTCAGCAAGCATCCTTATTTACCAAACAACGCCTGGGTGGGCCTGGAAACGCCCCTCCGCCCAGGGGAAGGCAACCTCGGGGAAATTAATTTACATTAGGGCAGATTTTCCTTCGATCAGCCCACAAGAGGCAGTTTCTGCTTCCCTCCCCCTTCCTGCCCCGAGAGTTTGCAGCCGGGACTGGCAGTGGTGCCTGGGTTCTTGTCTGCTACCAGCCTCCACGCGCAAACTGAAGGAGAACGTGAATCCGGGTTTTAGATTTCTTCCCGCCACCTACCCAAGCCTGATTTGTAACTTGGGGTGTCACGGGGCTACTAGGTTCACATCCCCTAAGAGATGTTTCTCCCCAAACACGTTGATGCCACTTAGACCCACCTACCCACCCAACCCATTCATCGCTTTCAGGCAAAGTAGACCACGCGTTCCCAACCAAGCAGCTTTGACAATTTTTTGAGGTAGGCCTGTGATGGCAACATTTAGACAGAGGGAAAAGGAAGACTGTAATGGCTGTTGTCTGCTGTGTGCTCCTGAAGCAATGGCAACCTAAATTATGAGCCTTTCTGGGCTTTTAAATTAATAGGAAGTGGTGACTTGTGCTGATTTGATCTTAGGAAGGGGAGAGAGCAGTTTATTTTGGGTAAAAGCGGTTAAATCCAGTCTGCTTTTAGAATTGATTTCCTACAGCCCTAAAGACAATACAGCTCTAATCTTATTGCTCAGAAAACTGCATTCACTTCTCCCTTCCTCTCTCCCCTTAATACTAGGCATAGAAAAGCCTCTTATGCTGGGGTGGAGCCCTGACAGGTCACATGTCACTAAAAACCAGAGTCCTTTTTCTTTTTAATTTTTTCTTTTTTTACTTTTTACATCTTTATTGGACAGAGTCCTTTTTAAAGAAATGTAAAATTGAATTGAACAAGTAAAGAAGATATACAGATTAAGTATACTCTAGGGCTGCCAGTTTTTGACTTCTTATTTCTTAAAAATAAGAAACCCTTAGTTGAAGAGCTACAGACAACTTATTTGCGTTCAAAATGTTGGTTTAAATGTCTACACTGGGACATGCCTGGTGGTGCAGTAGTTAAGAATCGGACATGGGTTTCATCCCTGGTCCGGGAAGGTCCCACATGCCACAGAGCAACTAAGCCTGTGCACCACAACTACTGAGCCTGTGCTCTAGAGCCCGCGAGCCACAACTACTGAAGCCTGTGTGCCTAGGGCCCGTGCTCCGCAGCAAGAGAAGCCACCGCACTGAGAAGCCTGCGCACCACAACGAGGAGTAGCCCCCAATCGCCGCAACTAGAGAAAAGCCTGCGCGCAGCAACGAAGACCCAACGCAGCCAAAAATAAATAAATGAATAAATAAAAATTAAAAAAATAAATGTCTACACTGTACTGTTCATTCAAAGCCCATTATTGTTTTAAAGGTAGATCCTATACAACTCCAATTTTCTTGCCATTTAAAATGTGACCTTTAAATCCTCCCTTTTCAGCCTTGAAAGCACGTGTAATACAAGAACGGTGTTATTAAAGATTCACTACAGGGCCACCCTGACCTTTCCTCCCCTCCAGAGCCAAACTCTGAGAAAGTGCCATCTGTATTAACTGCTTCTATTTCCTTCCCTTTCAAGTGACTATAATTTGACTTCTGTCCAATTATTCCACCTACACAAGGTTCCTAGTAGCTTTCATTTTGCTCAACCCAATGGTTTTCCTTCATGTGCATTTTCCTGGCTGCATCTAGATGCTGATGACTTCTTAATACGTATTTTTTCAGCCCACCTGACTCCTGAGCAGTAATGTGCTTACAGTCAAAAATCTGTCTAAAATATTCATTAAGTATGTAACGTTTGTGCAGGCAGTGGGCTAAGTGCTGGAGGTGCAATGTGAGCACACCTCTGACCTATTACCACGCATTGCCTCCAGCCAAATAGAAAAATGCTACTCGTGTTAAAAAAGTGTTAACCAATCACACAGATGTGAAATTGCAAATGTAGCCAGTGCTGCCTGTGCTTTAAGAGCCTCTAATGATGGAATGATGGAATGTAACTGACTCAGAAAGGTCTGGAAAGGTTTTCCAGCAAGAAATCCTTGAGCAAAGATCTGGAGGATAAACAAATTTACTATAGGAAGAAAGGATGAAGAATGTCCGGGATGAAAGTGAGTTCCAGGCAAAAAGGACATCTTTGAGAAGGGAAGGAATGTGGTACTTATAAAAGAGAGAGAGCCAGGGCTGGAGGAGAGACATGTGGAGGGGGCTCCATCAAAGGTGAGCCTGGGAGGGGAGGCAGAGAGCCAACCAGCTAGTGCCTTAGAGAGAGAGTTAAAGGTTACGTTTCCCCAAAAGGTAAAAGTCTGACTCTCATATAGATATAAAATGAACTTGTATTGTTTATCTAACTCATTTAATGAAGTTACCAGGCACAGGTTAAAACTGGTTCAAAGAACAGACACATTACTGGGTTAGTGAATTGTTAAAGGAAGTTGCTAATGGACATGAAACTGGCTTCTTCCAAGTGGAGAGATGTTAGTTGAACCCTGACCTTCAGAATTGATTTGCATGTCTACTGACAAGAATTATTTTGCATTTCTATCAGTTAGCTGAACAATAACTCAAAAAACAATAAAACAATGTAAAACCACAATGAAAGGGCCCAAGGAATCCTCAGAAGGAGAAAAAACGTTCAAAAGATTAGGATCTGGTAGGGAATGGGGCTGGGAGTTGACAGGCTTGAAGTGCCCTCTGGCTGCAGTTTGGAGATTAGAGGAGGGCTTGGGTGGAGTGGGTTATAAGGAAGCTATTAACAGAACCCACATGTGAGATGATTCTATTAAAAAGCTGGACTTGGCAGGTGGTAGGTGATGCAGATGGAGAGAAGCAGTCAGATTTCAGCAATCTTTAGATAGATTGGATATGAGAAGAAACAAGGGAGGGCGAGGGGCCTAGGAGGGCTCCCTGGATTCTGGCTTGCTTCTGTGGTTGCGATATTCACCAAGAAAAATGGAACACTGAAAGATGAGGTGGTTTTTTTTTTTTTGGCTGCTCTGGGTCTTTGTTGCTGCACGTGGGCTTTTCTCTGGTTGTGGTGAGCGGGGGCTACTCTTCGTTGTGGTGTGCAGGCTTCTCATTGTGGTGGCTTCTCTTTGTTGCAGAGGACGGGCTCTAGGCGCATGGGCTTCAGTAGTTGTGGCTCCTGGGCTCTAGAGCGCGGGCTTCAGTAGTTGTGGCTCACGGGCTTAGTTGCTCCGCGGCATGTGGATTCTTCCCGAACCAGGGCTCGAACCCGTGTCTCCTACATTGGCAGGCCGATTCTTAACCACTGCGCCACCAGGGAAGCCCAGATGATGTGGTGTGAGAGGGTGAGCAGGAGTCTGGTTTGGGGCCTATTGAGTTCTGAGGTGCCTCTGAGACTGGCTGTTAGAGATACAAGGCTGCTAGAGATATTGAGCCTGTCTGAAGCTCAAATGAGAAGTCTGGATTAGAAGTAAACATTTGATAAGTCACTGGTGGTGATCACTGAAGCTATGGGTGTGAATGAGAATGTCATATCTCTGCCTTGGTTTTCTCATCTGTAAAATGGGACAGTAGCAAACACTTCATTTTTGCCGATTGAGATAATTATCATAACATATGTAACAGATGTAAATTATTTAAAGCCTTCCCTGGTAAATCTTAATACCTTGTAGGTAATGATCATTTATCCCAGTTGGCAAACATTTTCTTAAAGGGCCAGATAGTAAATATTCCAGGCTTCAAGGGTCATGTGGTCTCTGCTGCAACTACTCAAAATCTGTCACTGTATCACAAAAGCAGCCATAGACAATACATAAAAGAGCAGGCATGTCTATGTTCCCATAAAATTGTGTTTACAAAAACAGTACAGAGTGGATTTGGCTTGTAGGTTACTGACCCCTACTCTATGAAGTTTCCCCAGCTAGAAATATAAATGTCATCCTTCAGACACAGCCAAGTGATCACCACCGTCTACATTCTAGCTCCAAATAGCATGACAATCACCATTTTTCCAGCCATATTACTGCCATCCTAGTACAAAATAGCTTCCAAGTAACCTCTGCCTACAGGCTTGCTTCCCATTAAGCCATTCGTAGCGTGTCAACCAGAGAAATTGTCTCAAAATGCAAATCTGAACATATC